GTTTAACCTCTGTGGGCTTGGATACCTGTTTTTCCCACTTCATAACTACCTTGTTACTTTTATAGATTTCCTTTAAAAGATTAGTGACTCCATCTTTCACACCCAGTGTGTCTAGTATTCCCCAAAAGTCTTCTTGAACCATCCTATCGTACACTCCCTTGATATCCAAAAATGCTAGCCACAGGGGCCTGAGTTCTTTTTCTGCTATTTCGATGCACTGCGTCAGTGAGAACAGATTGTCTTCCAACCTCCTGTGTTCACGAACCCCATTGCGCAGCTCCCTTAGCACCCCCTCATCCTCTATTCATGCCTGCAGTCTTTCCTTTATAATCTGCATCGCCAGCCTGTATGTAGACCACTGATGTCACTGTTAAAGGACGGTTGTTGTTTATGCCATCTTTGTCCCCCTTTCCTTTATAAATCATGCTGATCCCGCTAAGTTTCCATCCATCAGGTACTTCACCATCGACTATAGTTCTGCTCACTGCCTCTCTCAAAGTCTGCTTAGACTTCGGACCCAATGTCTTTATCAGTATAATTGGAATGTCATCTGGGCCTGTTGATGTACTACTTGGAACCCTCTTCTCAGCCTTTTCCCACTCTCGTTGTGAAAATGGAGCCATTGTGCCACCTGATCCATCCCCGTCTATTGTGGTGCATAAGGCACTTCTTTGTTAAAATTTTTCTGTCACCCTTGTTTTTCTATATTCAATAGCTTCATCCCCTTCTAGCCTAGCACCTTGGGCTGTAGTTATAAACCTCTGCTCTAGGCTCGTCTCACTTCTTAGAGATTTTAGATGGTTCCAAAAGTTCGCAGCTACCTTTCTGTCCTTTTTATGTACTTCTGCCAGCCACTGAGCACCATTTCTTTTGATCTTTTCATTGTTCAGGAAGATGCTTCCCTTCTAGAGCTTAGAAAGATTTCCCATTTTCTTTTAACATCATCTGTTGGTTCACCCAGCTGCTTAGCATGTCTGTGTTCTCTAAAGGCTTCCTGACGTTTGCTATGGCACTCTTAACTTCCTAATCTCACCAACTTAAGGGTTTGTGTCTTCTTTTCCGGGGTGACTTCTCACGTGCCTTAGCAAGCTCTAGCCCAAACAGTCTAATTATATTTGTGTACGTCCACACAGTTTTATTATCCTCCGTGAATATTTTCTCAATTCGTTTGGTAGCAATGTCTATTTGCCTTTCTGAATGACAATTTTCCTGTAGTTGCTCATCTTGTCTCCTTCCCACTTTCGCTGCTCTCCCAAAACTTAACTTGATACGTTTGTGATCACTACCCAGAAATCTCGAGTCACCTTCATCTATGTGCATTCCCTTGCGCTTATCATACATCCTATGTGACATCAGTGCGTAATCTATCGTTGACTGCAGCCTTCCTACCTCCCAAGTTATTTGCTCTTCACAATTGTCGGTACTGTTGCAAATGATCAAATCATGCCTTTCACACATATCCATGATCATTTCGCCTGTTGAGTCAGTATACCCATCTATATTTTCTATGTGCGCATTCATATCTCCTAGTGAGAACTGGCTAACCTCCTTGTCCTTCCCAATTTATTCCTCCTCCTCCTCATATCTCCTAGTATAATTATCTCGCACTCTCCTCCTAATTCATCAATGTCCTTTGATATACACTCCACCATTGCCTGGTTTTCCTCTCTGGCTTTTGCTCCCGTTCACAAGTACACCAAACCAAGGAGTGTCATCTGCCCAGCTACTTTCTCTCTTAACCATAAATGTTCCATGCATCCCTGCTTGACTCTTTGCCAACCCAGGCTCTTATGTGTAAATGCAACAATTCCACCCCCCCCCCCTTTTTGCTGTCTTCTGTTTTATTGCAATATTCTCATACATAGTCCGAATTGCAGGGTAGTTGCTCCATGTCCCGAAGATGTGTCTCCACAACCCCATATACCATCAGATCCTCCTGCCTCAACTGCTCTTCCATCTCTTCCCACTTTAACCTATGCCTGCCACCCTGCATGTTAATATAGCCTACGTCTGACTTAGCTCGGCCCTTGTGCTTACGTCGATTTCTTCTCCCATGGACTTCGTGTGGCTTGAATAATTGTGCCCCTTTAGGTTCGTCTTTGGGTACACTGTTGGCCTCAGGGCTCTGGGTCCCCTTAAAAAAGCTGTGGCTTGGTGACCCGTTCTGTTACCGACCCTCCTTCCCGTCGCACCACTGTAGTGAATGCGATCCTGTGCAAAGCGGTGAACGCCGGGCTCGTACACGTCTTGGTTAACTTCCATTACGCTGTGTCCGAGTTGCCAGCTCAAACCCTTAATCACACAATTGGCCTCCACTACCCTCCTTTCAATCCCACGAGGCTGCTCCCAGACCTCTGGGACTGTGCATATGGTCACATGCATACTCCCAGAGGTTTCTCAGAGCTTACGCATCCCATCCTCTAACTTTCTTTGAAGGTTCTGATCCTGGCCCTTCAACACATCATTGAGCCCAGCATGAATAATGACTAGATTTTCGCCCTCCATGCTGTTTTCTACAACACCCTGAGCTTTGGCCAGTGCATCCACCATGCTCTTCCCCGACTGTGCCTCCATCCTGACTTTCCCATCTTCCTTCACAGTCTTGAAGACGACATCCCTAACCCTGACCAAGTTAGAGTCCCCAACCACTAGGACCCTTGTATGCTCAAATCGCTGGCTTCCTGTTCGTGATGGCGCCCCTGTTTGCTTCACCTGTTTCTCTCTCTGCCGTCTACCCTGTGTTTCTGCTCTGCTTGAAGACTGCTGTGCCACCGAGCTGTATGTTCTCGGAGGCTCCGTGCTGTGGCCAGACACTGCGGCTCCCTGACCTCCCTTCTCGCCTGTTCCTTCCCACCTGCCGCTTTCTCCGCTACCCACGCCTTCCGTCTCACACTGCTCGGGGCCGGGGCAAAGCGCCATTAGCTCCTTTACCCGCTGATTTATTTCGGTCCGCCCTTCCCGTTCTTTTCCAAGGTCGCCCTTCATTTGCTCTAATACGCTGGCGGTAGCTTCCTCCCGCTCACGCGACGCTCCGAGCTGGCTTTGGAGTTCTATCCTCTGCTCCCGTTCCGCTCTAAGCTCCCCCTGAAGCCCCTTGATGCTAGCCTCCATGTGCTCAACAGCTGCCTTCAGTGCCTCACACAGCCTGCACACAAAGCTCGCCTTCTGCGCGTAGGCCAAACTCGTGAATGTTGTCTCATCTAAGTAGCACCAGTGCTTGCATTCTAAGCACTGCACCAGCTCACTCTCGTTCGTGGTTTCCCTTGCCTACTTAGCCATCGCCTGCCCGACCATCAGACCGAGTGCCCGACAGGCCTATGTTCAACCCTAATCCCGCTATCCAGCCGCCTCCGTTAACTCTCTTACCTCAACAACTGTTTGAAGCTGCCGCCTACACCGCACACATCGAGTTCAGTTTCGCTAGTAGCCTCTCACTAGGTCCCCTTCGTGTTCGGCTCTAGCTCTTTAACAACTAACCAGGTGCCCCGACCTCCTTCAAATTTTTCTGTCACCCTTGTTCCTATATATTGAATAGCTTCGTTTCCTTCTAGCCTAGCACCTTGGGCTGTAGTTATAAACCTCTGCTCTAGGCTCGTCTCACTTCTTAGAGATTTTAGATGGTTCCAAAAGTTCGCAGCTACCTTTCTGTCCATTTCATGTACATCTGCCAGCCACTGAGCTCCCTTTCTTCTGATCTTTTCATTGATCAGAAGGGTCATCCATTCTACACCTTAGAAAGGTTTCCCATTTTCTTTCGACATCATCTGTCGGTTCACCCCGCTGCTTAGCATGTCTGTGTTCCCGTGAGGCTTCATGACGTTTTGCTAAGGCACTCTTAACTTCCTCATCCCACCAACTTTTGGGTTTGTGTCTTCTTTTCCGGGGTGAATTGTCACGCGTCTTAGCAAGCTCTAGCTCAACCAGTCTAATTAGATTCGTGTACGTCCACACTGTTTTATTATCCTCCATGATTACTTTCTCAATTTGTTTAGTGGCTATTCAATTTGCCTTTCTGGATAAAAGTTTTCCTGTAGTTGCTCATCTTGTCTCCTTCCCACTTTCACTGCTCTTCCAAAACTTAGCTTGATACGTTTGTGATCACTACACAGATTTCTGGTGCCACCTTCATCTATCTGCATTCCCCTGAGCTCATCATACATCCTATGTGACATCAGTGCATAATCTATCGTCGACTGCAGCCCTCCTACCTCCCATGTTATTTGCCCTTCACACTTCTCGGTACTGTTGCAAATGATCGAATCATGCTTTTTACACATATCCATGATCATTTTGCCTGTTAAATTAAGCAACGTGGAATAGGTAGGCTTGCTTTAGGAGCTCACGGGAATACAACAAATGAGGGAGTGCAAGGTGATATGGGATGGACATCATTTGAGGGCAGGGAAGCTAGCAGCGAGATGACATTTTAGTAACGATTGAGAGAAATGGGAGAGGAGCGTTAGGCTAGGAACGTATTCAGCTACTTGTACATGAAGAATGTCGATACAAAATGGAGGAAGCGAACCAGGAAATTGACTGGTAAATACTTAGAAAACAGCGGGTGGCCAAACCAAAAAGAACTATCGGTTAAGAAGAAAGTGAAGGAAACGGAGACTGACATGTGGAGAATTGGCATGATTAAGAAGTCCGCACTAGAGATCTATTGAACTTTTAAGCAGGAAATTGCCAAGGAAAGAAACTATGATAATACTCGGGGTAGTTCTTTACTGTTTGAGGCCAGGACGGGAGTAAGCAGACTTTAAGCGCGTAGACTTAACTGGAAGGAGGTTATCTGATTGGTGGCTAAAGTCAAGGCACAAGTGAAAATTAAAGCCTTCACTGCAAAGTACGAATCCTCAACCTCACTGTTTAAAGAAAAAAAAAGAGATAAATCTAATGGTTAGTTCACTATGTATACGGCAAGGTAGCGCTAGCCGCCGCCCGATCTAAAGGGTACAGCCACATCCATCCATCTGTCCATTCATCCGGTGTTCCACAGAGTTAGAACGTGCGGTGTTACGTAGCACGTGCTTTCGTTATGATGTCGGGCTGTGGCGACGAAAGTTTGGGCGTGAAGAAAAGTGTCAGCAAACGCTCGAAAGAGCTTTTACGAAGTGAAGTGATCTCACGTAAGACTAAGCATCACCTGGCCTACTCGTGCGTGTGAGATTGCTTTTGTTAGCCGCTTCTTTAGTTGTGTTTATTCGCGCCTCTTGATGTGTCCACAGGTGAAGACCACATTCGCTCCCTGGTTCAGTCGAGCGGACCACCGAAAACTTTTCAAGTGAGGAGTACAGGTAAGAATACTCGGCAGACTAGTAATGAACAGCGTTTAGCTCCTTATAGATGACTGCGTGAGCCGATCGAAAAAAAAGAGTCCGGCATATCCCTCGCGTTTTGCAGGTTTGCGGTGTTTGTTATCTGCCTTGGTATCGACGTCCGTCCTTGTGCGATTACAGTAGTTGTGTAGATATCCTAATTACGTGGACTTCACTGGTTTGTAAAGGGTGGCTCATTGTCCAACGCCACTTCGAAACTCACAGCACATATCTTTTATCGAAACAAACTATGAGGAGCGGTCGGTGAAAGCACCATTTCTAAAGTGTCCCTTCACAAAAGACCATATCCTAGGTACACCCGATGCTAGGCAGATATCGCACACACTTACTATCTATAGTACTTAAGTTTTGGCAAAAGCTTGCTGAACATTTCGTAACTGGCGCGAAGCTAGAAACATGATCGCTTTTCACGGCCATGTTAATGTATAAAAACTGCAAAATATTGTCGCTTGAGAACTCTTGTGGGAAGGTTGGTCCTGTGGCATTTCTCCGAAGGACTAATTTGCACTCGTGAGCTCCCAACCGACAATGTTTTGCAGTTTTTAGACATTAACCTGGCCGTGAAAAGCGTTCATGTTTGTTGCGCTTACTTGTCTCGCAGTAAAAAAAAAAAAAATGCTTTTGCCATATGATTCCGCGCATTCCAACACTACAAAACGTGGTATCGCTGTGCATTTCCTTCATTAGGCGTTCCACAAATAGTGTCCGCACATGACGCAGAGCAGCCTTTGTCATCAGATCTGCAGGCTCGGGCGGGCTTGCATGTCGTTGCCGAATCTTCGCCACGGAAGCTGAATATCAGCACTCGAGAGAAAGGGAGCGCGCTAAATCACAGTTGGTGCCGTACTTGCACAGGTTGATCTATAACCTCATGAAGGTGGCCACCAGGTTTGCAATTGCTGTTGTGCTTTTTGCTCCAAATAAACTGGCGCACTTGTGCTGACGAATCTCTTGTGGTAAACTGTAAGCGTGCCAAAAGACGCATGTGAAACTTTTCAGGCGTAGTGCCGAAGGTCTATATGAAATTCACCTGAGCTGTGGCAAGTCTTACACTCGACAAATAAGACAGTATATTAATGGCCGCCTCAGTGAGCATGCCAAAAGCATTGGTAAGAGTGATGGTGCACATCTTCTTGTACATGTCGTCATAAGAAAGGGAAAATAAACAACTACATTTTTCCTTTCTCAACTCTTCTGTGACCTTGTGGTTTTCTGCAGAACTCATTTGCATGTCAGGTTACACTCGTGTGTGCCCAATTATGTTTAAGTTAGCATTATTGGCAAAAGCAAAGATCAAACAGCAAGGGAACTGCTCGAGACGTGTCATATTAGAAGTCTGCTAGTGTCACTGACACATGTTGTACTCCACCAATATGAGCTGTCCTTGTTTATTGAACTGCTCACGTGTTGACATGTCTGTGATAACTCTTCTATGCCACTGCACATATGACCTGTTTTTTCACCCTGCACTGGCAAGAAAGAGTTGGTATTTTGTGCACTCCTCTGTCTCTTCCCTCCCCTTTTTTTCAAGTTTCTCGCTTTGCACCAGGTACAAAATGCTCAGCAAGCTAAGGCACCTGCCCAAAATGACTCGCCCAAAAAACTTCTAGAGTTCATTTTTGGCGAAAGGTCTTCCCAGCATTTGTCTGCTGCATTGAAATTTTCAACTTTAACACATGTATACGAAAGGAATGCTTCACGACTACCTGTTTGTGGCACAAGGCCGTAGGGAAATTTGTACGGTTTTTTCGGAAAGAAATGCTTTTTAGTAAAAAAAACAAAGTCGTCATAGTCTGGGGATCGAACCTGGGATGAATGCTTTCTACACGGTACCCTGTTTGCTAGATACACTTTAAAATATTGCCTCTCTTATTTTTGTTATCTTATAAAATGGTGTAGTTGCTAGAAGCTTGCAGTAGCTGATGGTAAGCTAGATATTTCAGAATGTCCTGTTGCAAAGGAAATCACAGGATACTGTAGCTGGTGCATGGTGGTGTTCCTTGCACATATTATTTTACTCAGGATCTGGATGCATTGGCACAGCCTGTCATCATGTTGAGCCTCAGGGCGAATAAGGAAGTGTACACTAAGTACTTTTTTTTTTTTGTCATTGCACAAACGTTGGGCTCCTTATTTTCCTGAGCAAGTGCTCCAGTGAAACTTTTAAAGGGGTTCTGCTTCCCCTTTCTGAAATATTTGCAACCTTCAGTGACTAAACATAGTGTGCACATGCGTCACGCAGCACCTCTTCGTCACTTCTGAAATGCCTCAGCGACATGCCCACATACCTATACTGACTCCGTCGCCGATCACTGCCGATTTGTTTTCTCGTGCTTGCGCCCTTTCAGTTTTGCCTCACGATACAAGTTTGAGCAATCATCAGCTGCTAGTGAGAAAAGTTGATTTAGCAGTGCACGAAGAGGAAGCAAAGCGTCGGGGTATTCTCTTTGCCAAAAGTGATTACCTAAAATTAAGAACGCACTTTACAATTTTCCGAAAAGCATCGGCGTGTTTGGCTGGTGCAGTCTAACAAAAATGACTTGAAAAACCTCAATAATATTTTCGTCTTCAGGTGTAACTTCTTTATGCTATATCCAAGCACATACCTGCAAGCAGAGGTAGTTTACCGTGATACTGTACATACAAACTTGTTCACGACCACTGCGTGCACAATCAGCGTGTCAAGGAGGCAATTCAAATCGTGGAGGCGATTGCGAGAATTCGGGTATTGCATTGAAACAGACTGTGAAAACGGATGTGAAAAAATATTCGTTGTCTCGCGGTTTGAAGTATAGCCGATCAGTTCTAGTTGGGGGGGGGGGGGGGGGGGGGGGGGGGTCAGGTTTTTTAAAAGTTGGTTGATTGATTCTCTAGAACGGTCTCCATCATTTTCAGAGACTCCATTGTACATTAGTGCACAACAACAGAAGTGAAACACAAGGTAGAAAATGTTTCAATATGTATGCGAAAAAAAAAAAGTGATCGGCATCATTGCAGCACGCACTACGCAAAGTCTATACCACGCATAATACTTTTCTCGGCGCTTTCCTCAAATTCTAATCAAAGAGGTTGAACAGCAGCACCGTTTAAAATACTTGGGGAGAAGCGCTGCTACTTTGGTGGTGTGGGCCGAAGCAATATAATGAAATATGATTTATTTTATATATCTTGTAAACTTGCCTAGCTCTGCACGATCACTCGTTTTCGTTAGCAGTTGCTGCGCTTCACTCATTCGCTCTTAAAATTGCGACTAGAGAGACTTTGGGCTTTGACTTGTTCTTGGGCCATGCAATTTGTAGTGATACCGAGATAATTGGCGCTTGCCCCGCCGCGGTGGCCTAGTGGCTAAGGTACTCGGCTGCTGACCCGCAGGTCGCGGGATCGAATCCCGGCTGTGGCGGCTGCATTTCCGATGGAGGCAGAAATGTTGTAATCCCGTGTGCTCAGATTTGGGTGCACGTTAAAGAACCCCAGGTGGTCAAAATTTCCGGAGCCCTCCACTACGGCGTCTCTCATAATCATATGGTGGTTTTGGGACGTTAAACCCCACAAATCAATCGAGATTATTTGCGCTTGTAGATCGTGGCGGGTGGCCGGTGTACGCGGTGGCTGGTATACGTGTCACCAATCTTGATTTTCTGGTATTCTATCGAGTGAACAAGCGAGGCCTTCCTTATTCGATGAGCTTGTTAAAGTAGAACAATGAAAAACCGCACGGCTTCTCTTTCAACATCGCGCACAGCTACTGATCACGAGCCCTCAACAAACCGTGTTGCAGCATGGGAAACGCTGTACGTACCCAGGCATGGCAGGAGAGAACGACAACGGCGGAAATGACATCGCATGAACACTATGTATAAGGGGCGCCACAACGAAATTGAAGTTGCTGTCGATGCGGCGATCCCCTCCATGCGCGGAGCCTTCGTCATAGGTGTTGTCACTGCATGGTTGCCACAGCTTTCGGCTAGAATAACTCTCCATGGCATTGAAATTCCCATGAAGGAAGCAGCTCATCATATTAGAGTGCATAAAGTGCGGGACACGTGGTCTGATCTTTCACCGTATTCGATGTCCGATCCGCTCGTGCAACAGCCGGTTCAATGGCATTTCGTAGTACTGCGCTGCTGGATTCGGCATCCAACGTGCGTTAAACTCGGCAGATTTTTGTTATCTGCTCAGTCAGGTGATCGTGCGAACTATATAGACATTGGTAAACAGCACGGGAGACAGATGACGTAGAGCCTTCACCACTCCGATCGTTTGGACCAAGGATGCCGGTTTTATTTACGGCTTTCATGGCAGCCAAGATGGGCTACAATTGTTTGATTACGCAAACTAATGCTTAATCCAATAAACTGGTGCTCCAGTGTGTCACTTATTCAAAATAGTGCCGGCTTATAAGCTACGAGCGGGATCAGGAACATGATGCTTGGGCATTTCGCAGGTGAACATGTGACACTGCACGCTATCTCCCCCAACCGGCTTACTTTGCTTCATCTTCATATCGATATTGCCAAGAAAACTGCTTGCATATCTCGAAGCTAGTATAAGACTAGAAATATCAATCATGTTGCTAAAATGAGCGCCTTAGACAGGCTTGGGCTCGAACTTTAAAGAACCCCAAGTGGTCAAAATAATTTCGAAGTCCTTACTACAGCGTCTCATCACTCATCATAGTTTTTGTAAATAAAATCTAAGCAACTCTGTTGTGTCCCAGAAGTCAACCGACTTGAAGTGCATGCTGGGAACCACATTGTTATTGTGACGAGTTTCAAGATGTTTTGCCAGCTGAAAAGAAAACCAAGCATGTTCATGACTTTCTTTCAGAGTGCTGTTTGAGCATTGCAACCTGCAGCACATGCGATTGCTCTTGTATTAAATGCCCATTATTAAAGCTGAAAGGTTCCACAGCCTTGCACCAACAAAATCTACCATACTTCAGTTGCTGCACGCTGTTA